CTCCACCTCCGGGTCCTCTAGGGTCGCCTCGCCGCCCTGCACAGCCTCCTCACACAATAGTCCTTCAGTGCCCAGGGCTGGAGGGGCGAAGGAAGGCAGAGGGCGGTGAAGCTAAAATGAGCTGATGTTTGACTTCATGCCTGAGAGAAAAATCAATCCTGAGGCTACGGTTGTTCAAGAAAGAACCAACCCACCCATTTCTTTCCAAATGGAATTCATGGTTCAACGTAAAAAAAAAAGGAAGAAAGAAAATGAGTCAGGTTGGAACTTTGGTGTAGTCTGGTTATTAGGACTCCAACTATCTCCTTGCTAAAAAGTGGGAATCCCAGCCAACGGCGAACAGCCTCTTGGACCGTCTCCCTTGGGTTTGCCATCCTTAAAACTAATCAGCCGAGCGCGGCTTACAGCTCACCAAATTCTGGGAAGTGTGCTATATTTTTAACCGGGCAATTTGACACAGATTTTCCTAGAGCCAGCTCAGTGCTGGCTCATGGCTCCTACTCACAGCCATCCTCTCGTTTCCCCAAATGGAGGGGTTCACACATCCCCCCAAAGTGACCAGTTTGATGTAAATGAAAGTTCCTCCTGTTTGGTGTTTCTCTGCAAGAAAGCTCATCGACCTTACGCGCTGTCCCCCAGGCTCCGCGAGTCCACCGCTTGGGACCTGCAGCCCCGCCACACGCCTCTCAGGGCGATGCTTCCTCGAACGCCTCGCTCCGAGGTCTAGTTTCCGTGCCAGGCTTGGTGTCCACGTGCCTCTCAGGGACAAGGACTTCCTTTCCTGTCTGTTTGATGAGAAAAGTGGCTTTAAGAGAAAGTGGGGAAAATCCGGATGAAGACGCTCATGAGAGCAGGGGCAACTCTCGAGCTGCCGGCCTCGGAGGCGGCACTGGCCCTGGGAACAGCTGCCGGTTGCTCAGGCGGCAAGCAGGCTGTTCAGGCTGCAAGTCTGGGGAGCCTAACTCAACTTGGTGTGAGAAGAGAGTGACTTTTGGCTCACAAGGTCAAAGGGAGAGCAGAGGTGGGGGGCCCAACTATGCACGGAGGGGCCTGGGGACCTCTGGAAGCAGGGTTGCATGGTTCTGTCCCCTTCTCTCTGGCGGCTCCCTTTACGTGGCCGCAACTAGGGCCACTCCCGGGGTCTCCTCAGGGTGTCCTAACGTGGGCTGGCTGCGGGAGCAGGCTGGAAGCCTGGGGCTGGCCGCTGGGCCCATGTGTGTCCCGTGCCTGCCCCAGCGGCTCTTCGGGAAGCTGGCAGCCGCTCTAGAAGCACATGATGAAGTTAGGGGAGGGCAGTCCCCCTGAGAAGGGACGTGAGGGTCAGACAAACGACATAGCAGATGTCCCCGACGGCACTCCAGTTCCCTTGGCAGCCGGCTGTGCTTCAGCCAGCGGAGGAGAAATGCCACTGAGCTTTAGACTCTCAGAAATGGCTGCCACGGCACCCGCTGAGCAGCGGACAAGCCCATGGGGGGGGGGGGTTCACAGCAGAGTGTTTGTACCAAGTGCAGGGCAGAGCGGGGGCAAGAGCCCCGCACCCTCCAACCTCAGCCCTGAGGCTGGGGCTGGGGCCACAGAGCCAGCGGCCCGGGGCTGGAGGTCAGGCAGAGGCCAATGTGGTGCGTACGTCAGGACCAGGGGTCAGCGCTGGACCGGTCCTGACGTTGTCATGATGGCGACCTGGAGTTCTGCAGATGAGGAAACTGAGACCAGACAGCCGACTTGCCCAAGACTCACAGTTTATTAGCAGCAAGAAGGCCTCGTTCCCACTTTCCCCTGTGCTGCTGAAGGAAGCTGACAGCAGCCCAGGGTGGGGGGTGCACTAGGAGCTCCAGCTAACACCCACTATGGGGTCCTGGGGTTGGGGGGACAGCTCAGCCGCTCCTTCGTGGCTGTGCTCATGCCCCTTCTCCTGGAGCAGCAGGGCTGCCTCTCTGGCGAGTTTCACTGTCAGCTGACTTTGGAGTCTCACACACCGCCCCCCCCCCCAGAAAGGGGGCCTCCAGCCTCCAACAAGCACAGCATCCGTGACCCCTGCCCCCGCCTGCAGACGCAGACCCTCCCCAGGCCCCGCCTCTTCCAGGAACTCGATTTTTATCCCAAAGGCAAAACTGGTCTTCCCCGGTCAGAGCTCCCCAGCGAGTGAGTCTCTGCGAACCTGGGACCCCACACGCGATCGGTGAACTCAGGGACGTCCCTGAGTGATTCTGATGGGACGGGCCCTCTGACCATGCGCCCCAAAGTACGCGTGGGGGACAGGACGACGCCCTGACCGCCTGAGTCGCACTGGCCCGGGCGATGCACCCCGAGTTCAGAACAGACGCCTCCCGGTTCCCACCAGGACGAAGCGCGGCCGTTGGCCCCTCGGCTGCTGCCACTTCGGAGACTGGGCGCAGTGTTTCTTCTATTCTAGGGATGCCTCGATGTTTCAGGATCGGGGCATAATTACGGAGAACCCAGATTCTCCTGTGCCCACGATGCTGTAGTCTTCCTGTCTGCTTCTTATGCGTGGAAGTCTTCAGTGCCTGTTGGACCTTCTGGTCTCAAGCAGCATCCTTAGGGCCCAGAAGCTGGGGTGTGGCTGGGACCCCAGAAAGGCCTGCCCAGTGCGGGGCCGCTGAGGCACCTCTCGGCTCATCCAGGGGCCACGAGTTTCAACTGGGGGCAGTGGTCACAGAGGTGGGCTTCTGGGGCCGGTGGGCTTTGTGGATGCTCCTGGTGCTTATTATGGGGTGCTGGTTGTTAGGGTGGTGGTTCTGGGGGTGCTTACTGGAGACGTGGAGGGGCAGAGGGCTTAGCCCATGTGGACCTGGAAGCTGGCTGTGAACCCCCCACGCCCCTCCTTTCAGGGCGCCGGCAGCAGTGCTAGTTAACACTCCCACCAGCTCGGGGTCCGGTCCCCGTGGCCAGGCCGTCCGCGAAGTCAGGGCCACGCGCGGGAGCTGTGCCACCTGCAGCCTCCTCTCCATCAGCTTTGACTTCCTTTGGTGAACTAAGGGGAAGAGGTGGCATTTGAGGAGAAATCATTTCACATTTCCCCTAAAACGTGAATTCGAACACTTCCACGCCGTGCGATGGGGTGGACGAGACTCCTTCCCAGAGAAGGGGTGCCAAGGTGGAGAGGCAGCGGAAGGAGACACCTGGGCGCACCCCCGGGCTGCAGGCCGACGCAAACAACAGCGAGAGCGCCCACCACCCCGCCGGGGCCCGGGGTGCTTTCTCTCAGAAGCACGATGCTGAGAGCTGATGGATCAGTGCACCGGCCCCAGCTGGGCTCCGTGCAGGACAGCAGACCCCGCCTGGCTGCTGTGAGCTCACAGGGATTCGAGGCTGGGGATTACCTGGGGGGGTGTGGGGGGACCCCAGAGGAGCAGGCTGCAGAGCCGCACCGTTCCGCCTCGGTCCTGCTGTGGGCACCCCGCCCCGGGGAGGGGTGTGGGGGAGGCTCTCGCTCGGCTTGCCGGGGGCTCGAGGAGCAGCCAGAGCAGCGGGGAATGGCCAGCACCCCCACCACCTTCTCCGCATCACAGCTGTGCACCCAAGGGAGACCCGGCCCCCAAGGCGGGGGACCTGGGAGTCGGGAGGGGGACCCCCCAGCTGTGTTGAAGGGGACACACTGTCTCCAGGCCAGTTCGCCCCAGCACTGAAGGGGAAGCTGCACTGAGAGGCCCTGTGGCCCATGGGGCCCCTCAGGGGGCCGGCAGACCCAGGACCCTCAGTGTTTAGGTCGGTGCTGACCAAAGTTGAGATGGGCCCCCCCGTGCCCAGTTGGCGGGGAGGAGCGGGACATTGCAGCGAGGACCCCGAGTCCCAGGAGCTGGCGAGGAAACCGCAGGAGCCCGGGTGCTCCGTCTGGGGAGCGCGAGGGAGGACCCTGGAGATTCACCGCCCAAGATCACCGGCCTCGGGGGCTTCTGGGGCCACAGGCGGTGTTGGAGAGTTAGGTCATTGGTGGCCTGGGACAGTTCAAGGTCACCGAGTGCGGTGCCTGACTGAATCATTTTTGCCCTTGTTCTCCTGGTTCCAGGGCAGGGCTCCCCTCAGCTATTTGAAATGGTGTGTTTCCACACACCACATGGGTACTGGGGTCCCCGTCAGAGCCTCCGCTCACGGTCTCACCGACAGGTGAGGAGCCGGGACCCGCCACAATGAGCCCCTGTCCCCCCCACCCCCCCGACATTCTGCGGGCTGGACCCAGGCCTTGTGGAAAGGAAGCCACAGTGCTCTTCAGGTGCCTCTAAGAACGCACCGCACACTACAACATCATAAGCGTGTAGTTCTGTCACATGGCTGTCACCCTCGAGCACACCACATGACATGTTCGGTGAAATGGCCACGCGAAAACCATGAACTGTCACAGCCGTGTTATCGCCCTGTCCGCCACACGGAAGCCTCACCCCTGCCGGACCCGGCATTTCACGCTGGGCCGGGAGCAGCGAGGAGCTGGGGCGTGTCCCAGGCCAGGGCTCGGCCGGGAGCCCTGCTACCGGCCCGGGTTCCCTCGTCTGTGAAGTGGGACCCTCCCTGGCCCCCACGAGAGATCACAGGCGCATCGTCGGAAAGGGCTTCGGTGTCATTGTCTGCCACGGAAGAAAGGACTGGTATTGAAATGTCGGGCCGGTGCCAAGCCTTGTAGAAACGCAGGTACTCTCTCAAGAATTTCCTTGACACTCTGAGCAGGAGAACTGTTCTCTTCCCCCGGACGTGCCCCGGAACGGGGTCCCCAGCCTGGCACTGGGGATCACTAGTTACAGAACCGTGAGGAAAGGCCTGGTCTCCCTTGCTTGTCTCTTCACTGGCAAACAGAGCTTCGGGGAGTGGGCAGCCGGGGGGCGGGGGGGGCTCTGATTGCGGGATCAGTATTTGGGGGGAGGCTGTTAGGAGGAGTCTCTGTTCGGAAAGTCCAGGGAGAAGCGGGCAGGCGGGCGTGGCGAGGGCGGAGGGGCACTGTATTTCCTGTTTTCCTTCCCGCGGGTGTTGGAAAACCCTGCAGGGACGCGGCGGAGACCCACGGAAAAACTCCAAAATCTATCCGCTTTGCCGCTGGCGGCCCAGCCCGAGAGGGGACTCGGAGGAGGGGTGGGCTTCTTTTTCGGGAGTCGGGGTTTGTGGGAGCCCAGACCCACGCGTGTCGGGGGAAGACGGCCCCCCGAGGGTGACCTCAGCGGCTGCAGGGGCCAGGAGCAGCAGGGCAGGGTCTGGTTCTCATTTACAGTGCAAGGCGGCAGGAGGGCGGCGGGGAGGGGCCGGAGGGGTGGGGGCGGGGCGGGGCGGAGGCGGGGCCAGAGGAGGCCCTAACTGTACCCCTGGACCCCGGCCAGTGTGCAGCTCCGTCTTCCCCCAAAGGCCGCTGCGCCCTCCCCTGCTCCAGCTTCTTGCAGGGACCTCGGGAAGTGTTCCTCCGCCACTCAGGTCCCCTCTCCTACAGAAAGAAAGGGACACTCCGGGAGCTGGACAGCCATGGGCCCGACCCAGCGTGACTGAACACAGCAGCCCCGGGAAGCCACCCCTTCAGGTCTGCTCAGGGTGAGTGTGACTTCCCCTGTGGCCCCGAGGCTGCGCCCGAGGAGGGGGTGCTTTCGAGCTGGGGACCATGGGAGGCAGCTCTCGGGGTCCCTTGGGCAGCGTCCGTTTTCTTTACAAGTTACAGGTCTCTGGAAAATTCGGCTGAGTGTTCTTTCTCCGTTTGCGGTCACTGGGCTTCCTTAAGGCGGCTGAGGCCGCGGGCTGCCCAGGGGTGTACCTGGGCCGCCGCCGCAGGGCGCCTGGGGTTCCCCGCCCAGCCTGGGCTCTTGGGCGGCTGTGTTGCTGGGCCCAGGAGATGCGGGCACCGCCTTCTCCCTCCCCGGCCCGGCAGGAGTCTGCTTTGTTAGCAGGGGCGTCTACCTGCCGGGCTGCTCCGTGGGGGGTGCCTCTGAGTTCTCCCAGGTGTGCCAGTCCCTCCCGGGGGAGCACATCTGTGGCCTTTGGGGGACTGCGGCAACTTCAGTGTCCAGGTTCGGGGCCAAGTCAAGAGTTAGCCCTGACCGTCAGGGCTTCATCTCTTCAGGAACCCCGGTTGAAGTCTTTGTCCCCTGGGGCTGCTTGAAGGAGCTGCAGGGTCAGACCAGGAGAAGGCATTTGGTGTTTGGGCGGCGTGCCCAGGGGATACAGCCGGGGCCCTGGGGCCACGCTGGCCTGTGCTGCCCAGATGGGGGGTGGGTGCCAAGCCGGGAGGCCCGGGCTGCTCCCTGGCCAGGAGGGTGGGGCTCGGTCCTCTCCCCCGGGATGGAAAGTGTTTCCTGACAGTTGCCAGCCTGCCTTGGGGACCTCGTTCAAGGGCTTACTGTGTTAGGGAATCAGTGTGGGGTGGAGGAGGGTGGGGTCCCAGGAAGGGCCCCGGGGAATATGGGGGACTCAAAAAACCAGCACTTCACATCCAGCCCAAGGGGCAGGGTTAGGGGCTGGTCTGGACCCCAAGAATGAACCGTTCCAGGCCAGGGGAGGGGTGCCTGCACCCAGTAGGACCGCAGGGCTGGGGCACCCTCCCAGGTGGGTCCTTGAGAGCTGTAGGCGTGAGGACTCCTGGGGTGCTCGGAGCTCGTGTGGACAGAATGTGCTGAGCCTGGGGTCCCCCACCTCCAGGGGACCCGTTCCAAACACCTCAGAAACGTGCACAGAGCTGGCCTTGAGCCCACGCAGTCTTTGTTTGTAACCCAAATCCTGCTGAGGGGCCGCCGGCTGTGGGGGGTGTCCCTGGTGGGAGCCTCTGAGGCCTGGTCCCACGGTTTTGAAGAGGAAGAACAGGGTGTCCCCAGAGGCCGACTTACTTGCCGAGGCCACAGGACCCGTGGGCGTGGGTGATGGCAGGAAATCCCTGCCTGAGGCGGGAAAGCAGGCGGCCTCTGGTGCAGACCCCGAGTTAACGCTCTGGTCTGCACGTGCGTCTGCTCTGCTCCCCCAGAAGACGGTGCCTCGCTCCCTCGGTCTGCTGCAAAGGGTGGGAAACTGCTCTGGGCTCCCCGAGTCCCTGCCGGTGAGCGGAGGACAGGTGAGCCAGCCACAGCGCCAGCACTGGCCCTGAGCCAGATCGCGCCCGCCGCGGCTCCCTCATCAGGCCGCCCCCTGTGGGCCTGCGGCTGCGGGTGCCTCGTGGGTGGGGGCTGGGGGGCAGCCAGGGGCTGTGGGAGGAATGGCTACTCTAGGAGTGGCCACGTGGTCTTGATGGCTTCTTGGGTGAAAGGGACGCTTTTCATCATGGGGTTAGGGTGTCCTGTGTGCTGAGCAGTGAGGCAGTGCCGAGACGGCGTGGGCTTAGGGGCCCCCTCGGGGAAGGGTCCCGGGGCAGGGCGGTGCCCGGTGGCTGTCCTCGGTTTCCCAGCCGCGGACCTGGAGGGTGTGGCCACCTCTGGGTGCCCGCGGCCCTCCGGCGATCGGGTCTGTGGTGAGTGTTCGAATTTGAGTCTTAGGACATTTCTGAGGGGAGGAAATGGACATTTTTCCGAGCAGGGACTGTCCTTCGTCTGGACCCCCTCGTGTCCACCGCGTTCGGGGCTCACTGTCACCCTGCTCTTCTCCTACTGAGCGGAGAACCTACACATCCGTGGGGGAGAGTGGGGAGCAGCCCTCTGGCAGTCGGCGATCAGCCTGTGGCCCCGTGGGGCGCCCCACTGGACCTCGCAGTGGGTGTGGGGCTGCCGCGGCCACCCCCCCGAAGCCGGCTCAGACGCCCTGCCCCCCGAGAAAGCCACAGCGTCTCCGCCGCTGTCAGGGTTCTGGTCTCCCCGCCAGCGCTCGGGCAGGGGACCAGCGAAGCGTGGTCCCCACTGGCAGGGTGTGTCAGCACCCACTTTCATGTGATATTCCACACTGGGGACCGAAAGTTCCACGGCAAGTCACGGGTTCCGTGGCATGCAGCTGCCTCGCAGGCGTGGCAGTCACTCAGCCAAGAGTTGCATCTGGAAACTGGCTCTTGGCCCGCCCTCCTGGGAGGAACCGGCGGGCTTGTTATCTCTCGGAGAAGGATCGGACGTGGCCTGGGATGCCCCCGTCTGAGCGGGGCGTCGTGCCTGCTGTGGGCTTTCTCACTGCGACCCGAGGCAGCCTGCTTTTCCTGGTTCCTTAGCCTGGGGGGCGGCCTTAACACCCAGCACCGCCCACAGGGGCAGCGGGAGACCCCGGGAGCGACCTGACATTTCAAACGCCTTATCAGTCGCTCCAGCTAGGGAAATGAAAACCCTCCGTGCGTCACAGTTTAAAGCAGGGGAGCTTCAGAAGAAGCCCCTGCACATTCAGACAGCTTCGAACTAGACATTTGTAGATTCAGTTTCTTTCTCCCCGATGTGAAAGTTCTTGGGAGAACTCTACCCACCCCTCACAGAAGAGGGTCCTCTCCCACCAGGGTCGTGACGGCTTCCCACTCAGCGCATACGTGTCCTGATTAATTCCCCTCGGAACTTAATGATGCTAATACTCAGAAACGTAACTGTGGATGCCTTTTGGTCTCGCAGGCTATTTTGGGAAGGAGGTGAAATTTTGAGTTAGAGCCTTGCTCCTGAAAGTGAAATTTGGTTTCTATTCCTCTAGAGGGCAGTATGTCCCCCTGAGCGCCCGAGAAGAATCTCCAAGGGACACTGGAGAACTCAGGGTGGGGTTTCCCGGTCTGCAGGGACAGTGTAGGGCTACTCTGCAGAGCAGAGAGGGGGGCCATGTCGGGAACCCCCAGGAGGTGGTTTCGATACAAAGTGTTTCGGAGGTGGGACTGGAGCCTCCAAGGACGGTGTAAGATTTCTGTAGCTCAGGTAGGAGTGTGCTCGGAGGCAAAAGCGTGCCCTACAGGGAGGCCCTCTGCAGGCCGCAGGGCTCCTCCGTGACAGGGGCATCGGCCTGGGGACGCGTCCCCGGAGGCGCTCGCCACGCCTGCCCAGGAGGGTCTGCAGCGGCTGTGAAGCCTTGTCCGGGCAGGATTCCTGGGATTTATTTTGTATTTCCAGTGTGCCACGATTTGATTTTATTTCATTTTACTTTATTTTTTACATGTATTTTATTGATTATGCTGTTACAGTTGTTGAAATTTTCCCCCCTTTGCCCCCCTCCCCCCAGCAATCTCCCCCAACTTAGTTCACGTCCGTGGCGCTACACATAAGTTCTCAGGCTCCTCCATCTCCCACACTGTCCTCGACCTGCCCCGTCTACTCTGCACCGACCACCTAGGTTTCTTGTTCTCTGTCCCTTCTCCCCCTTTCCCCTCCACCTCCCCACTGATAACCCTCCATGGGACCTCCATTTCTGTGATTCTGTTCCCGTTCCGCTTGTGTGCTTAGTTGTTTAGATTCAGTTGTTGATAGTTGTGAATTTGTTGTCATTTTATTGTTCCATAGTTTTGATCTTCTTTTTCTTAGATAAGTCCCTTTAACATTTCATATACTAAGGGCTTGGTGATGATGAGCTCCTTTAACTTGACCTTATTTGGGAAGCACTGGATCTGCCCTTCTATTCTAAACGAAAGCCTTGCTGGGTAGAGCAGTCTTGGATGGAGGTCCCTGCTTTTCATCACTTCGAATGCTCCTTGCCATCCCGTCTCGCCTGCGAGGTTCCTTCTGAGGACACAGCTGACAGCCACTGGTGGGAACCAGTGGGATGTTAAGGTGACTGATGCTGTGACTCAAGCGTTTCATCACCTGCCCTCGGCTGGTCTCTCCTGCTAGGCAACCTGTTTGGACAGATTGTGAGGAGTGCACTCATAGGGCAATTACAAACGTCCCATTTGAAGTATTTGTTACTATGAAGTAGGTGATGGACTCCCAGACTCAGGGCTGCCACCACCCTGAGGGGTCCTTGCCTGGGGCCCGAGTCACAGATCCGGCTCCGAGGGAAGAACCCCACCCCTCAGTGGAGTCTCAGCCTGCTGATTGCTCACGCTCAGCGAGCGCTTGCGCTCCCCGGCAGGACGCCTGGGGTGGGGGTGGGGGACAGAAATGGCCAAGACACAGGCCCTTCGTTCTGGTCGGCAAGTGCGGTTTCCCTCTGGCTACTTAGAATGTTAAAACACGGCTACCTGGCAGGATTCCTCCTCCGACCCCTTGACACCGCAGGTGAGGTCGCAGAGAGGGCAGCAAAGCCGGGGCGCCCTTTCCTGGGCGCTCCCTCCTGTTGGGGTTCCATGCACCATGCACACACAGGTGGCCAGGACCAGGCGCCCCCCCGGGCACACGTCTCTGGGAGCACGGTGCCCAGCACTATGTGAAGGAAGACCCTTCTTGGCTTCGATGCAGCTTCCGTGGAGAAGCGTATGTTAAGTTTATTTAGCAAAGAGGTAATCGTTGTCCAAAAAAGTCTGGAAAGGAAAAGGAGAGAAGAAAAATAAGACAAACAGGCCGAGTTCTGCCAAACGCTCTCCCAAAGGCAGAGAGCTAGTCTCCTGCAGGGTCTGGCTGCATTCAGCTCAGTGTCATGCAGCTGTTCTCCACCAGCTGCGACTCGGGAGAGAAGCGCTTCCGAGTCGGGGGAGGCCCGGGGAAGCAAGTGGGGCGGGACGCGTCTCCGGC